TGCCGCGGCGGCCCCGTGAGGGGAGGTGTCGGTCCGCGCCCGCGGGAGGCAGGCCCGGAGCGGAGACCTCCCCGCGGGCACGGCGGCGAAATCCAGCCGGTGGGCGAGGGGGCGGGGGAGAGGCGGATTTAATCACGGCTAGTGCTGCGGCTGGGCATCGCTTTTAAAACCTGCCGGGCCGCCGGGAGGGGTTGAGGAGGGAGAGCTCGTTTATAGCAAGCAATGGATGCGGCGAAACCATTAAGTGACATCAGGCTACGCGGCCGGACTCAGGAGACCTGTAAACTCTAATTTATGGGTCATCGGTACTCCGAGGTATTTTTATGAATCGGCTGAGAATAACTTAATTCACCCGTGAAACCAGCTCCCTGCTGATTTTTGTTAATGCCTACGTTTAATCTGTGTTGAGCAACAGAGTTATTAATTTGGCATGTTACATGTGAAGAACGTAAATGATGATAGCTGATGTAAGAGCTCGGAAGAGCAGTAGATGCCTTTGCATGCTACTTTCGTGCTTGCACCTCCAAATTCCTAGCTTCGTTTTATTTAATCTGTACTTATAACAAACCGCCTTTCTACATTTCCAGAGCTTTTCCTTTGATTTGATTTTTTTAAACAGCTCACCACACCTTTGTCTTTCCTTCCCTCTAAATAAACTGTAGAATAACGTCAGGAGCAACAGCTTTTGGTCATTTTTGGAGTTCTTCCTTCTGAAGAAGACTGAATAGTCTGGACAGTGGTGACGAACATCTTTGGACCTCATGATGATCTTCAGTACTCGAATTCAGCATTTGTTTTTTACAGTTAGGTTTTTTTGGCTGAGGTTCAGAGTTCTTATTTTAAGTTTACTTACATTGAGAGCCGCACTTTAATGAGGCATGTTTTTTGTTAAACCTATCTTTTGTAGGTGTTCATTTTAAAATATAGTAAATAGAATTTTGGTATGAATTATTATCATCATCCTTCAGGTCCCTTTTATGGAGGGATGTTTATATCTTGGCCATATTTACAGAAATATCTTCATTTACAACTAGTTCACTTACTGAAAGTATTGTTTGCTCTAATTCATGTGGATGATCAGATCTCTAATCTCACTTAGAATTAACATTAGGATTTTGCTAGATATCGCTGTTTGGATTGAGTAAGTTTTTTTGTATTCAGAATGGGTGATTGCATGTAGCTTCTAAAAGCTGTCTTAAAGCAACTGTTAATTTAGGTTTGGGGATTTAATCTCGTGGAGCTAGGGAATGAATGAATGAGACTTATCAGTTTCAACTGTGCTTGTTTATTCATCAGAATGAAAAGAAGTAAAGATGTAACCTAAACAGTGAAAAGTTGGTTTAAGTGATTGCAGACTCAGAGTAGCTTTGGACTTCAATGTGAATGTGTTTATATTTACATGTGTACACTTAAAAGGAAATGGAGGAAGTCCCAGAGCTGCAGATTGCTGTCAACTGGCAAAGTACATCAAGGAAGGGTTGCTGTATGTTTACTCTGTTCTTGTTCTGTTCTTTAGGCATCCACTAGCAGTCCTTATTAGAGACAGGATACTGTGTTAGATGGACCTTGAACCTGAGCTAGTATGGCGTTTTTCTGTTTGTAATAAAATGTTTTCCGTGTAATAGCATGCCATTTGGAATTTAAATTTCAAATTAGGCAGGTGTCAGAGCTGTAAGTTTTTCAGAGTACAGTATAAAAGTCAATACCACGTGCAGAGAAAGCAGGCTAATGAATGTACTATTACTTTGGATGCTTATTTGCATTTTTGCTAACGTTTATAGGACATTCCAACTCCGGATAGGAAACGGTCACAAGTATGTTTTCTAAGTGGCAACTTCCATTTTTTTCGTGAGTGCCTTGTGGAAGTACTGTGCTTCTCACGAAGATATTGTTGTTGGAATCTGCTGCAACTCCCATCTGTTCTTAGATGTTGCAACGTTGCCTTTCACTGCAACTCCAGCCTTAGTTCTGCTTCCCTGCACTGAATCTCCCCTTTTTACACGGCAGGCGCCTGCGCAACCATGAGCCTTTCATTTATCTCTAGCATATGGAAGGGAGCAGAAGGGATCTATAAAAAGTAGTTCAGTAGCATCTTCCCTCTAAACTGGTTCCTCTGTGTTAAGGTTTACTGTAGAACTTGCTATGATAATAAGTAAAAGCAGGAAAAAAAATCCGGTCTTGCTGCTAGCGAAGTGTCTGTTAGTTGTCTTCTAGAGTATCTTTTGGGAAGTTGTTGCAGTGAATTAAGAAAGTTTCACCAACTAGAACTACATGAATTATGTGTAGGAATCATGAAAGCTTCCCACATAGTTGTGCTAATGCAGTTTAATCCCAGCCTGTGGTGTATATACTCTTCCTGACCCCATCTCTTGAAAAGTTTTCATCCTGATTGCTACTGTTTCTTTTTCATTAAGGAAAAGATGCAGTATATTAACTCATCACTTCCTAGTTTTAGTCTTACAAATATAATAATATAACAGAATTCATTATTCCTGCTTTCAGTGGATTGTGGGTGTTTACATCACAAATGATACCGTACTTGTCTAATACAGTGCCTTGCCATGTATTACAGAAGTAGAGAGACAGGGAGCAAGCATTACTTAATACACTTCAAATAACTTTTACGGTGCAGTATCCTTAATATCCCTTGACGGTTCAGACCACTAGCTCTTGTCTCATGTCATGGTGGCTGTATGGCAGGTCTGAGAACAGGTCCGAGTTTGTGTTTTCATATTTTACAGAACCATTTTGAGCATTTCCATGAAGTATTTGGTAAAGTTCTTTGACAAGTGAGTTTCCAAAGACAGTGACAAACGATAGAGATACATTGACATGCTCTTTTTTCAGCTAGCAGTCTTGCATTTAGGGGAAAACCAGCAGAAAGCAAAAATAGTGCATGTCTGAAGATGCACAAAACTTTACTTCGGTGTTCTTGAATATCTACGTTCACTATGCTTAGCTACCAAAGAATACAACTTGAATTTTCCCCCCACTTCGGAAGACTAACAAATTCCATGTGTTCTTAAGCAATAGCTTTAAGCCACACTAGTTTTCAGCACTCTAGGTTTTGTCCTGAAAATGGTTTATCAATCCACATTATGAATCATGGTGTTACGGATGCATGCATAACCAAATCCAAGAGGTGTTAAAACTCAGATTTATTCTTCAGTAAGAAGTTAGTTAGAAGTCCGGTAACATTTTATAAAACCACAGGCTCAATGTGTAAAGAGAACTAATACTACACAGCCGACTCAAGAATCCCCAAGATTTAAGGTGATGGCTCCAAAATGTGCATCTCACTCACCTAAAAGCTGAGGGCTCTCTCCTTCGAGGAGTTACCTCGCGTGGTGCCCCGACTTGAGTGGGAGTCCCCGACTGCCGACCCGCTGCTCCCAGGAGGACTGATTCCAACATGTCCTCCGGCGGGACCCCCTTTATACCCCTGTCGAATCTGACCTGTGGTCATTTAATCCTATTGGCCAAGAAGGTCACTCAGTGTACCTGGCACGTCTCGATTGGCCAGTTCAAATTTCAGCCTGCGGCCTCCAGGGTTTAGGGTTTTTTTTCCTTCCCCTTCCCCCTGCCTGGAGAAGTTTCGTTTCCTGCTGGCGGGATGGGGGGGTGTATGTAGTGCCACACATGGGTAGAATCAATCTTATGTCCCATTTGTTAGCTCTGGAGAAAAGATGATCTGCTAACGTAAAAGGGTTTCAGTGTATTTAATCTCCTGGGTTCACATCTTGTTACTGTGGCCAACATCTAGGTTTTTGTTGCTTTTCTGTTCATCTGTGAAGGCTAATGTGATCCCACTATCGCCGTTCTTTTGTTACTTATATGAAACAATAGATCACACTAAAATCCAGCCTAGACAGTACCCCCTTAAAGTATGTAATATTTTAATACAAGAATATTTTAACAGGAGAAAAAAAATCAACTTTGGTAGTTTTTTGCTAGTTTTAAAGAACAAAAATTCAAGCTTTCTTAGTTCTTGAACCATGTGCAGTATGGTCCGTGATGTAATAAGCCTGCAACCAAAAGCTCCTGAAATGAACTCATTGTGTACCTACTCAATGGTATCAGTATTTAAAGATAGTCATTGAACCAATCCATAAACTATAACTACAAACTATACTACAGAACTATGAAATTGGACATGTGAAGATTGTAGTTTGCAGTGTGCGGAAGAAATGATGACGTGAACATGGAAAGAATAGGCCCATCTTGATGTTTTCCTCCCTGTTTTGACTGTTAGGTGCTTGCCGTACATGTAACAGGGTTGCCGTGGTTCTGTTCCCCCACACGCATTCTGTGGTCCGCTGCTCCATTTCTGCTCCTGCAGTTCATTGCCAAGAGGAGACATCAGGTGTTTCCAGTTTGTATGAGGAGTAAGCAGTGCAGAATGCCAGGTGGAGTGTTGAGAAAGACATTTGCTGAATGTCAGTGTGCACAGCTAGTAATGGTTTTGAGGTTATTGCTGACTTTCCAAAGCCAAGTGATTAGCTATCATGAAGCAAAGAAATGAGCATCTTTACTACAAGCATGAAGTCACAGGTGCCTGAAGGGTTTTCAGTATGGACCCATTAAGTGCAATGGGAGAAGGATTACACTTAAAGTTTTGTACCAGAACTTGCATGTTGTTCACGTATGAAGCATGATTATATGTCTGTGAAGTCTTAGGGATATTTATACCTTAGATAAAGCTTACCTGTACCCATTTTGAAATCATCATTTTGCTTAATTACTGCTTTGAGACCAATTTGTCTAGGACAGGCATGGAGGCAGAACAAATCTGCAACCTGAAATCCTCTCTCTCCCTGGCTTAAATAAATCTCTTCTGACTTTTCTTATTTCTGCAGGGCTTCATAGAGAAACAGTCATTGGGAAGTGAACTACTTTAAACTTATGCTCCTAACACTTAGAATAAAAACACGAAAATATGTAGTATTTCCAACACTGACTAGAACCAGTGTCATATTACTATTAATCTTTCCTTTTTCTTCCAGGCTCCATAGGTTCTCAGCTCCGCAGTTTGGAAAATGCAATCTTAAGTCCCTGTTGAAGTAAAGACGGTCATCCAGGTAGGACTACTTTATGATTACTCTTTTTTTGCCCGCCATTTTCTGATACTGGACTAGGCTGTTGCTTGTTTTCTATGGTCCCGAACATTGTGTGGATTAGTATGAAAGAAAAAGAATAATTTAATATCATGCTTAGTATTAATAAAGCTGTGAAACACCTTTGTACCAATATGTGGTCTAAGTAGTCTTAATTGTGTGTTGCTTTATTGTCTTGTAAAGACAGCCTCTTTTTTGAGTCAAGACTGAATACATTTTCTTATGTTATTTCATTATATATGATGGTATAAGTTTTGAAAAAATAGGAAACTGTATTGCTAATACAGCCAACAGTTGATGACAGACTACAAAACTACATTGCACTATAAATTGTGTAACAAGTTTAAGTGTAGAGTAAAACTTCTTCAGAGCTACTAATTATGTCTCAGAACTTGGAAATGTACACATCCATTTATATAAAGAGCATAGAAAAATCTTTTTTGCATTCATAATGTATTGTTTGGTGGACTGAGCTTGGCTTTAGTAAATGAAGCTGTTCCAGAAGGAACAATGTAGTTTCAGACATGAAATGCAGAGCTGCTGTTTCACAGACAATATGCCATGAATGCTATCTAAAGGAACGGACTTGACATTGCTAATTATAAACAAAAGAGAGTGGAATATAATTATTTCACACACTACATGTGGCCAAATCAGAAGCTTCAACTGCCAGATGGAGAGGGGTTTTTTGTGTTTTTAGAAACACCTTGCAAATTCAGCTGATAGAAAGCCTTGCTTTTTTTTATCATAGTCCAGAAGAGTTGCAAAAAGAGAGCTGATGTAAAGAAACAGTCTTAAATGTCTTCTCAGAGGTTTGACAGATACGGTAATGAAGGTTTTCAATGGCTTAACAGATACTGTGATAGAGGTTTTCAATGAATAGCTGTTCACGAGCAGTTAATTATCTCATTGTAATCTGGGTCACCTGGGAAGCTGTGAACACAGTTAACTTTGTGTTAGGATTGCATTGTAAGTGAAATGTGTGTTTCTAAGAGGCAACGCTGAAGCTGCATCATCTTGAGACTCGCAGTGCTGGAGAAGTGACCAAAACCAACTTCTGAATGAGCAGCTTGCTCCCTTGTTAAGGTGAATAGAGGCTAAAGTCTAATGAGGGTATGAAATCTACTCTGCAGGTCATATCTAAAAATCCTGGCTCCTCCCCTAATGCTGTCCCTCCTAGCAGCCCAGGCACAGTTACTGCTGCTCCCCCCAGGACAAACAGCAGCCCTTTGTTAGCTGCCTTGCCTGGGGCACACCCTATCCTGGCTTCGCTGCTGCTCTCTTGCCATCTGTAGATCCTAGAGACCCTGAAAGGAGCCTTTTGCTGTCTAATCTCCAAGGTTAACTGATTCAGTAAGTCTGTGTTACCTCCAGTACGTACATAGCTAACTTGTAACTTCAGTCCTGCCAACTTAAGTTCTAGCATTTAATTTCCTATGGGGAAAGGAACATCCAGGCAGTACCACAGAGGTGTTGTAGGTTCCTTATTTAAAGATTGGTTACTTCTCCAAAGATGCAGATTTGTTACTTTAATAACATCAAAATGAGATGTGCTAGAAATTTTGTCCTGGTGTTAAGAAGACACTAGAAGTACTATGGCCCAGCAAGTCAAACCGCTCTGATCGAGCTGCAGTGCATGGCTCCCTGCTTCGAAAGCTTGTTGTGTGTTTGAAATATGATACAGACAGTGACTTGGACCACCTTCCAGCTGCCATGAACAGTCTGAGCAAGGGTATCGAAATGGCAAACAAACCTCAGGGGATAAAACTGTGAATGGCATGCTTTGAGGTAAGGTGCTGAGTGGTGCCTTTGGTCCCTCATCTGAGTGCTGTGAGAGTCATGTGCCTGGGCCCTGAGACCTGGAACAGGTCGGCGAGACACCCTGGGTGCTTCTTAGGGAAGACTATCCAACTTCAAGAAGCCTTAATGGTTAAAACAGAGAGCAAAAATAATGTGCAGCAGCTGACTACTGAGGCTCTTAAGAGGGAAGTCAGTCATCCAGCAAACACGTTTTTGGAAGGAGTGTAGAAAAGATGGATGTTGTCCTTTGTTTAGAACCATGGCTGCAGCTAGCATATGTGGATGGTCAAATAGTGTCGTAGTTTCCCTCTGTTTGTTTCTGCTGGAAGATTAGTACTTCTAGTGGATAGTGGGCATGCTAGCACCCAGACCAAAGGAGAAATTGTGACTGGAAATAGCAGATTTTGGGACTGCAACAGTGAAGGAAAATGTCTTCCTGGGCAATTAGATCTGGAAAGTTCTGCTGTGAGTGCCACGAAGGGAAGGATTCCTGAGGTAGTTACTGGGGGAAGCAGGAATCAAAGGAATAGTTTGACAATTGGAAAAAATTTGAAAACTTTATTGTGCCAGCCGTAAAAGGCTTTTGTTTCCTAGAAGCTATGACAACTGTTTTCTAACACTGTGTACTCAATTCAATATTAATTATTTTAACTCCTGATTTCATTATAAATATGCATTTATTACTTAATAAATTCGTTCTCATTAGGGTTTTTTACTGAACTTGTTCACAGTGATAAATGAAGACTGTTACATACCTTCATTTCAAAAGGAAAAAAGGTTGGGGTAGGAATAGAAGGGTGTTAGAAACCAGTACAGAAATTTGGCTAAAAGGAAGAATCTGTAGCTGACATGGCTGTGGAGGAAGAGTTTAAATATTTTACGTACAGAAGAATGTTATTCCAGAGTTGTAAAACATTTTTTTTCCTAGATTTCTGATTTTAAAAGTAATGTAAAGACATTAATATGACAAATATTTGAATTTTGGAAAGAAAACCCCCCACATTCCGCACAGCACTGGAGTCTTAGGTGATACCTGTTAGGAAAGGTTTGCAATCTCAATAACCTTTTCTCAGAGTAGGACCTGGCTGATCTGCTAATTATATTTAATAAGTCATAGAATAGAATACCAAGGAAACTTCAGAAACCTTGCAAAATACTACTTTTCTTTTCATATTTGGAGAAGAAATAGTGGGGGGTGACCCAAATAACTACCGGTTGGTTATTGTCACCTTAACTGACTGAAAAAAAGTAATAACTGACATCTGTAACATGAAGACAAGTAGTCTCAACCCAGAAACTCTTTACCAGTGGTTCACTTCTGGCTCAGCAAACCAAAGGTGGTATTGGATTTTTTTTTTTAATTGTTCAGAATTAAAACATCCTGTAGGAAGGTAGGTTTTGGTTAAATACTCTTTTTCCTGCTTTATGAATAGAGGCAGACAGAAGCTGTAACACAATGTTTAATTCTGTAACTTTGTTGTGTAGGTGGACAAGTGTAATCAATGATGACAGTTGAGTAAATGCTACTTCATTAATCTTGGATTTACATTTTACTCCTCAGACTTCCAGCTTTATCACACTATTTAATGAGTTCCAGCTAGTGGTTTTGACTTCCTATGGGTGATAGCAATTAAATTTGAAAGAAAACAGGAGGCATTCTGGTTGTTTTATTCAAGGGCTGAACTCACCATTTCACATGCTGCTAGCTTGCATCAGGGAATTAAATGTCCCACCTTATTATATCAGTTATTCTGTCTTCTCTAATGCTTTCATCTAGCTTGGATATAGCATTAATATTTAAAATGTATGTATCAATTCAATAGACACATGCATTACTTACCAAAACGCTGCAGCTTATTAAAATAAACCTGCTGTTATCACAGCTAAAAGTCTCTGGAATGACACGTAGTGCCAGCAGGTGCATTGTACGTTTTCACAAGCTGGTCAGTTGAGATGGTGGTGGTAATTCAGGAAGAAAAAACACCTTCTTCATTATACGAATGGAGTATCTCCAGATTCCTGAAAAGAAAACATGGCATGCACGGTAATGTGGTCTAAGACTAACAGACTACAGGAACAGGAAAGCATTCACTGAAAGTAATCAGACCTTCTGTGGCTGTTCAGTGTGCTTGTATTAACAGTTTCCAGTATTTATTAACAGTTTCCAGTATGTCAGAGCAGCTACATGTGTTAATTGAGATTTCTTATATTTGCTCACATTGTGAAGATGTAAATAACAAATTAAGTTATTCACAGTTGTCCAAAAGCAGGAAAGCAAGTCTCATCTTGTATTGTGGTACTTATGATTAAGTATTTGTTTAGCTGCTAGTTTGCAGCTCATAAGGTCCCTCAGTACTGGGATAAAAATAAAAGTGTGTCCTTCTTCAGTGCCTGCACAGGACGTGGACAGAGCTGCTGTGGTCTGTCTGCAGGATTCCAGCATGCTTCTGTTGCTTCTGGCTCCCAATGTACAAGGACAATGTCCTCACTACAGAGGCCAGATGTCTTCATCCCTTTCCTTCTCATTCACTGGCTGGTCAAATTCAAATGCTGATTTCCCTTCTATTTAGGTGTGCATTTGAGGGGACAGTAAGCAAAGGGCTGAACTTTCCTTTCGTGCCCTCCAATTAGTGCTGGCCTTACGTCTTATGTGCTAGCCATCATACATGAATTAAAAGCATACTGTTACCCTCTTCCTCTTTCAAGCAGGGCTTGGTTTTGATTCTGCCTTAACAAATGTTAATGTCTCACTGCTGTTGCTGCCATATATCTTTGCCTGGGTAATGGAAATTGTGTCCTCTTCCTCTGTATCTCTTTTGCTGCCTTTCGAAAGAAACAGGTTTCTCTGTAGTACTTGGAATGCTTTTTAGAGACCTTACATATAATAATATATTGTTCTGAATTAGTAAGTAACAATAGGACCTTTTCTTCTCCAAAACTCATTCTTGAGTAGTATGCCGAGATGTTTTCTCCCCACTTGAATGCTTGACTAGAGAGATGAGTTTTGATAATGGGTGTATGTGATAGGCACACATAGACTGCTTCCCCAATGGAGAGGTAAGAATATGCCACAGCCTGACTGAAAGTCTCATGTCTGGTTACCTCGTGCCAAATGTTGTGATTTTTTTTTTACTGTGTTATGTTTTCTTTGCTGGATATAGACT